AATATTTTTACATTTTTACAATTTACTTTTTTATTTTATATGTTTATTCAAGAAAGCCTATACACTCGACTTGCTAAAACATGAAAATGTAACGTAGTTAATAAACTATTCTATTCTATTCTATTTATGGTTTCCGCTGATTGTCAGGGTAGGTTTGCAGCAATATGAAATTAAAAAAATATGTCACCTCTGACTGGAAGGCAACTATATTGAATAACTAAATCAAATGCTATCAATTGTTTTTGACGTGAGGAAAGCCCTTGTCACCTGTCGAAATTTTCACAGTTCCGCCTATGATATTCTTCAGTGCATACATTACAAGAAGCATTAGAAATTCTGCACACGAACAGGACCTGATGAACTAACAGAAAGTCAATAAATGGACAACGGTATACGCGGAATAAATTTTTCGGTTTTTCTCTTTCGCTGAAAACACCCTAATCATCTTAGACAATATAGTTTCGCTGGCACATTACCGATGATTGAGTAAAAGAAAAATTCGAAACTTCACAGCGTACGTGTTTGGAAAAGCGAACATTTCCTTTGGCGGGTACGAATGAGAATGTTTTGTTTGATGGATCCGCCGGAAATTACTGCGATTTATTTCGTTGGAACTGGGGTTGATTTAATGGTATAAATTACATATGGTAGAGTATGCGGTAACGTAGTTTATAAAAAAGAGGCTTATTTAATGAGAAATGATTTGTATTTCTATAACAGGTCTCATTTTATGTAGAATGGAAACACACTAACAAGCGCTCAAAATATAATTCATGAATTACAATACTACATGGGTTGAAAAGTCTCGGGCCGAACACATAGATGTCGCTAGTTTTATTCTATTCACCGCTTTCTCAGTTAATAATAGGGGAGCCCAAGCGGGGATTTCGGGATTTACTAAAGCGGCAAATTAATATACAGGGGATACCTTGTACCCGGTTAAGTACCTCCACCAAATATGAGCCCCATATTTAAGGCCGCCTGTGAGTGATAAATGATCAGATTAGTAAAAAAAAAATTGATCATCAGAAATTCTCGAGCGCGTCAGATTAAGGTAGGGTGAGTTAATTACCTGCTAAAAAGTGTATATTCAAGTAATCTGACAATTTGAGACTGACGTAAAGGAAGGGGAGGGCAGCAAAGTTGTAAAAAAATAACGTCATTTCGACATTCTCGATATATATATCATTCAGGTACACATGGTATACATAAGACAGGTCAATATAAACAAAACATAAAAGCTGAAAAATCGAAGATAATTGTAGAAAAATATAAAATACATACAGCCACATTTATTTTAAAAGTAATATAACAAAAAAAAACATAACTCACTTTTCTTTATGATTTAAAAATTCCCTAAGTGAATAAAAATTGTTTTCCAATAAAAATGTCTTCAATCGTTTTTTAAACTTTTTGTGATCGGGANATAATTATTATTACTAATAATATTTTTATTATAATTATCGTGAAAATTCACTGTTAAGGAAAATATCTTTAAAAGAAAATGGTAAAGATTATATAATTGAAGATAAAATACAGTACGAAAAAAGAATTTTGATTCAGAACCTCAAAACTAAACAATTACAAAAAATGAAAAAATGAGACTTATGTAACTAATGTGATTTGTGAAGCTGGTGCTTACGATTTACAAGAGAATCTATATCTGGGTTGAAAGATGAAAGTTTTAAGCGCAGGTCACTTTTCACACAAAGCATATCTCTATATTTTTTTTAAATGTACCAAGTATTTGAATCCTTCGAAAAATAAAGCCAGAAAAAAATAAAAACCATTTTCCGAAATTTCCGTTTTTCCGGATATACTTGGAACTTCAGAATTTTCTCAACGGCATATTGTTAGTCAGGTAAATGCGTAACTTTGCACCAATTTAACCATCTTCGTAACTCTTTGAAACACCCTGTATTATTGAATTCAGGAAAAATGATATTCCAAAACTATATCAACATACAATATTTGGTCAGTGAGAAATTATACTCATTGCATTGCCTCAATAATTGCACATTTAATTCTATCCAAAAAGTGCAGTTCATCTGACGACGCTAACTTGGTGGATGAAACGATTGTCAAGAAGATGTTGCAGTTGTTTGGTAGCAGTGTCTGTACTTCGAAATGTTGCGTACTTAACGCAAATCTGAAAGATTCACGAAAAGTTTTGCGATTTGGTGGCTTTTGCTAGAACGTCTGATTCAAAGTTTGGAGGTCACGGTGGATGGACATAATTCCGTGAAATTGCCACGACGGTCCAACAGGTCAGCGGTTATATGACGATTCGGAATTTGCGGATATTGCTTTTCTCAAATCCAGTATTCGTCCATATCGATAGAGGAATGACTGCCTTGCTCTGATGAAGAGACGTACTGAACAAATTGAAACATATTCGATGAAAAAATGCCGCATATGCCTACTTCAGAATTCAATTTTGAATGTAGATTTCTGAAGTATGTGACTGTATTTCACTAGTTCGGACTTCCATTGTCTACTATATAAAATGATTTGAAATCCCTGAAACAACTAACAAAGCAGAATTGAAAATGAGTAGCTGAAAATAATCATATCTAAAGTAAATGGAACTTCAAACGTTCCAGCCAGTCTCTATATACCTACACAGTAGGTTTAATGGACTGACACCTATCAGAAAACAACTACTCCCCTGGCTAATACCACGAAGGGCGTTGGATTATATCCGACAGGCGTCAGTGCAGGAATTTTCACAGAAAATGTCCTGCATATGCAATTGGCAATACAACTGAAAGAGTCGACCTTCAATTATGGAACGGGCACACTTGCAGACCGGTTTCGGGCTTATTAGCCACTCATCAGTGCAAGATAGTGACCATCATCGACCT